GCAAGGCTTTGGGGAGGTTCACCAATTATCCCTATCAGTGCTTAGCTGCTGCTGTAAGTTAGTTAGATTTATTATTGAATCTGCTTAGAATACAGTTTACAAGAATTTATCATCAAAACTGCATGGTATCACTTTTGGATAAAACACAGAAATGAACATAAGGTAGTCCTTTATAAAGAGTTTTAATTTTCTGAAATAACTCACTTTTGTCTCTTAATTTTAGGTGATCAAAAGACTGAAAAATGCTGAAAGAAAAGATTCTCTGTGTAATTATGGACTCTTGTTTAACCTCAGTGTATGAATGCTTATGGAAATTGCAGCCACACTTTTATTGAGTGTGTAGAAGTGAATTTTGTACTCCACTAAAAACAAATCCTTTGTGACATAAGAATGAATCACGATTCTAAGCAAACACGTGGCTTGAATTTTTTAACAGTATCATCCTTTATCAACAATATTTTCTGAATGTAATTCTGATCTATCTATGTAAGCTTTCAGGGTTGGTGTTAGGGCTATCATCTCTGAGATGTAAAAATCTGGATGTTGACTAGATAACAGCAGTAGATTAGAGCTTTCTGTATCTCTTTGCTGCCAACTAGAAATCATCCAGATTTTGTCCAGATTGATATATTTAAACATTGTCTAAAAGCAGTATTGTTAATAATCTGGAAAAGAGCAATAATGCCTACATATTTTCAAGGATCAGGTAGAGATATTATGGCTGTATTGTGTTTTATCACCCTGCCTGATCTAAAGCAGAGGATTTAGGATCTAGATATCCAAAAAGACAGAGCTAAAGTCTCCCATCCCTTCTATAGCACAATCACTCCTCTACCCTGGTCTGTCCCTAGTTTGTTCTATATCATCTTATTATATGCTCCACATAGGAGACAATTTACTTTGGCTGGAATTGGGGTGCTACCTATTAGGGCAACAACCAGATATATAAGCCTCCCATCTGAAAGCCAGACTTGTTTCTGTTCAGTCTCTGAGGTAGAATCTGTTTCACATGTGCTATTAAAATGTCCATTGTACCCCCAATGGCAGTCAAGTTTAATACTTCCAATTGTTAATAATCCTCATTGCCATTGTGACCAGGAGGCTGTTACCCTTCTCCTGAGTGACCATTCTTCAGAAACCTCTGAGAAGATTGCAACATTCTTATCAATAGCTATAGCTGTTAGTAACGGTCTCGTTCCTCCTCAATGCTATTAACTGTTAGCTGCTAAATGTTTTAGGATTTTCTTGCAATTTTTAAATTTTTCTTTTATAGATACTGTACTGTATCCTGGTCTTTTATTGTGTTTGGTCTTGGACTGTAAATAAATTTTGATGGTTGATGGTTTTATCTGAGAATGCAAAATCTCTAATCTTTAAAATCATCATGTTGGGTCTTCTTTTTTAAAGCATGGATTCAACCAGTGACGTTGCCTTTATTGAAAGTGTAGGTCTTTAATTTTTTCATAGCTCTAAGGTATTTAATATATCATTTTTACTTTATACTTTTAGCATTTAATTGTAGAATTAATATAATTAAAAATAATTATTTTAAAATCAGTTTTTTTTCTATTATAAATTCCAGACAATGTAGTACATTAAATGCTGGTCTTTAGCTTACCCATGAAAGTTTTTGAAATTGATAAAATTGTGTAAATTGTTTATATATTTTTGTTTTGTATTGCCTTTGACAAAGGAATTTTCTGGAACATGTTGGGATTTCATACTTTTTTCCCTTATTGCTGGCACTTAAAACAATCTCTCCCACTTTTTATGGAGACATGGAGGAAGATTGTGCTTTTGCTACAATTGAGAGAAGTCCTTGAAGTAGGCAGATGAATTTTTATGCACACAATATTTTCTCGTTTTACACAGCTGCTATGGAAGTGGCTCCTGGCTGTGTCCCATATGGGCATGTGATTTGGTATGTTGTGGGAACCCAGCCATTCTCTTACCATCATGTTAAGCCACAGTATGGTTTATTGGTCTAGACATAAAATGTTATAGCATATATTTTGTTAGCCTGAACTTACAGTGAAATATTATGCTGAAGTCTTAGAGCTTCCAATCATGGAAGCTGTCAGCATACCCATTTGAATGCTCTTAGAAGCCCTTTACAGATGTCTGCTGAATATACAAGGGTGTGTTGTAGAGTAAGTGCGTCGCCCTTCCCCCTTTTCTTCTTCTGCATAAGGCTGTCTCTGCCCACATCATAGTGTCTAGAGGCTAACTGCTAAATGCCTGTTGCTCTGTGTGCATTTGTGATAATCTGAGGAAGGATCCATTCACCTTGGAAGAAGGCTGAGTTGTGGTACAGAATAGTATAAATTCAGATTTGGCACTGTAGGGCTTCCTTTTGTCTGGAGACTAATGAAAATTATTTATTTCAACCTTGGTTTCAATCCAGTCCTATATTTCTGGAAAGGAGGCCACCTCTTGTAACTTAACTTATCATATACTTAATTAATATTTCCTCAAAAAAAGAACCACTGACTATGTTAGACCTATTCATATAAATTCCTGAATTTGTGTAAATTTGACTAATTCTTTGTCCTCTTTTGAAGGGGAAATGGTGCATTAGACCTACATCTCACATGCTGCCTTAGAAATATAATGGGAGAAGATGAACATGCATGCCTCCATCATGCAAAGAGGCTCCTTGGCTTTGTAAATTTCTAACAAATATAATTCACTTATGTGCCATTTATTTATTTATTTGACTTCTATCCTGTCTTTCCTCCAAGAGCTCAAGGCATGGGGATTGCCTTTTATTTTATCTCCAAAACTGCACCCTGTGAGTTAGGTTGGGCTGAGAGTGACTGGCCCGTAGTCACTCAAAGAGTGTCCATGTGGACTTGAAACTGGTTCAGCATCTTAACCACTATGCTACACTTATTATATTGTCAATACCTTTATATACCAGAATTTAGGCATATTGATGGTATTCAAACTATGAATCACTAATCATCATAACCTGGTTCTAGTATTGTTACCCAAGGTTAATTGTTGCCCTACCATTACATTGAACTTTTTAAAGTGATTCTCCAAATCAGTCTTCACCTCACAAAAACTTTTAATCATTTCAAACTCTAGTTTTCATTCTAATTTGGATGTCTTAGCATACATTCATTCTGTTAAGTGAGGGAACAAATCTACCAAATTAGTGTTTCAACCCAACTGTAGCATCACTTAATTGCCTGCTTAAAATTAGTTTTAAAATCTGTTTTATAAATGAAGTTCCTCTATTTTTCTATCTTTGCACAGCTGTATTAAACACATGTGCATACACATGCAGACGACTTTGAAACAGATGATTTCCCTGTCTACATAGATGAATTCAATATTGCTTATTTTCCCAAACCATGATGTTTGATTGAATGAACTGCTTTGGACTGACCATCCAAGCTCAAGGGTTGTCTGGTTTAACACAGATTGGAATCATGAATGGCACTAGCTTTTATATCCCCTTTGTGTAATGGCCAGTTTGGGTGTTCTAGCCTTTAATTTGGCCAAGCAACTTAAACATAAAAATGTTTAGAAGTGGTTAGGCTGGTTTTCATCATTCCAGTGACAAGTATGTGAAATTCACTTGTTGGGTTGGGAGACCTATGTATGAACTCGGATTAGGGAAAGCAGGAAGGAATTTACCCTGATTCAGTTGAAAATGCTTTTGTTATAGCACTGAAATAACTTCAGAAGTTTGTCTCTGTGAATAACATCTGTTGACCATTTTTTCAAAAAATCCTTCTGTGGTTTTCTACTAAAGCACACGTCAAACACTAAACCAAACCTATGAAGTATCCATATAGCTCTAAGTAGATGCCCACATAGCTTCACCATGTGTTATAGGCACACTGGAACCAGGATCTTGAATTGCTTGTAGAAAAGCTGGTAAATGTTAATAAAAAACATTCTGTGTTATTTGCAGAACATTTGTTTCATAAGGACAGAGGTTCTTTATTTTCTGGGATTTCATTGATTTTTTTGGACTGCACTTTCCCTGTTCTCTTTTTTAATGATTAAGAAAAACCTTTTAATAGTGTCTATAACCAGCACAGAACATTTAGAGCCCCACATGGTTTTTACTTTTGATTCCTAAATCTAACATTTGTGTTCCATTGGCAAATACGACTCAAGAATTGGATGTTTTATAAAGAACCTTTCACTCTCTCATTCTTCATTCAGAGGGGGGTCTTAGTTCAATTTTTAATGAAAAAAAAATGATACTATGAAACACTCCTAAATTTGTTCCAATTCAATATAGACCAGAGGTACTGTATATATTTACTTGTACAATATATGCATGGACTTTTAAGTTGATTCCCAAAACACTTAAAGACATTGACATTAAGCTGTTTCGCTCCAAGGAAATCAACACGATAAACTTTATCAGTCAAAACTACTAATGAATTGTAGATGTAAAGCGTTGCTCTTAAATTTGAATTGCATAATGATCAACTTTACAGGCCTGCACAAATCATACTCTGCTCACTTGTATGACTGTTGTGGGGAGGTTTGGCCTTGCTGTATTCAGTTCCTGTTCTCAACAAACTCAGTTCACCTGATTTGCCACTGCATGACTTCTAACTCTCTCACTTCTATTTCACTCAGTCCATTACTTCCTGGCTTCTGGTGAATCAGTTTGCTATTGCATTCCAATAATAGAATGTTTACTCTGCAAACCATGATGAAAGCTAGTTTGATTCTAGTTTTCCATTCTGGTTTGGAGAGCACATGTAAGCCACAATATTCCAGATTAATAGTAAAGGCAAATTCTGATTGCCACAAATGGGAAAACAAGATTTACTACATTATTTTGCATAAATATTATTTAGATATTCTAGTTTTTCTCTGACTAGATAATCTTTTCATCCACTTCATTATGTAACCAAACGGGTTTACCTGGTAGTTGTGATAGAAAACAACCCCCCCCCCCGAGGTTTAGAAAGACACTTTTGTACCTAGATAAACTAGAAAGACAGAATAATGTTACAGTAGAAAAGTGCATTGTAAATGGTTTAATAGTTTTGATTTTCTGTCCTGGACAAATAATGTGTTGTTTGATTAGGGGGATGCGGATGGGGGGAACAGCAGTATCAAGTTCTGCTAGGCAGAAGAATTTTCAGTGTAGCCAAAATCTTCTTCAAGTGAAGCTCAACGCATCCATGAAATTTATTTCACAACAGTATGGTAGTGATCTGCCATTGACTTCTTCCAGGGGTTTTTGACTCCCAGTACAGCCTACAAAGAACAAAAGGCAATATATGAATCAATGTATGTATGCAGTAGAATGAAGGATGGTTTGCAAAGACAGAAAGTTATGGAGCGATATAATTAATATTGGTGTTAACAAGTTGGATAACCTTTATCTCATGTCTTTTACTCAGTTCACTCTTTTTCTGTGCTTTTCATAATGTTCTCTGCTTTGAAAGAAGAACATGGTCAGTACATGTGCAATCTTGTCTACTTCCATGGGATTTCAACCCGTCTTAGTATTTGGATGTGTCCTAAGGTGCTGCCACCTCACCAGAGAAGATTCTAGGAACTCCCTGTTCATTTTCCCTTACAAGTTCCAGTTTTATTTGAATCCAGTGCTTCATTGTCTCAGAAAAATACACCATGAATATTTGTAGCTGTCCTGTATTTTCTGACTTAGCCAAATTAGGTTCCCTATATTTTTTTTTCCTATGTCATCATAAGTAGCCTTTGGTTAATTATATAGCTTGCAAGAATGTTTAAATGTGAGTTGTGAGTAGAGGACAAAATAACACAGATTCAAGAGATAAGTGACCAGATTTTTCAATGTCTTGTTTTTTCCAAATGAATCAAGGAGGGGGAGATATGGATTGGCTCCATAGTGTGATGACAGAGTTTAACTTTTCAATGATTCCTTCCCTTTCTGGCCATAACAGGTCCTTAAAATGGAAGAAACTGAGTCATGATTTTGAGTTATCTTCTTTTAGTACTTCCTGAGCAATGGTCAATGTTTAACAATGAACGAGTGTCATTAATTATAATATTTATTGCATTCCATAAGTAACAGAATCCAGAGCTGCTCAAGAATAAATAACCTTTATTTTCAACTTCATACAGATGAGAACTGCCAAAGCAGATGGAAGGCTTCAGAAATCATGAAATTCCAAGTTTATACTACCAGATCTTTGAACTGCAATGTATTATAACATATCACCCTTTCTGAGGGAGTAGTCCACATGCAAGACAAGTTGAATGCAATCCAACATACCAGGGTTGCTCTAGCTGAGAAAATATTAATGGACATACACATTGGCTTGCTTACAGTATAGTCCTAGACCTATTTACTCAGAAGTGAACTATAAAATTTATTCCTACATGCTCATAAGATTGCAATCTTAATTGCAATCCTGTGACTACTTATGAGAAAGTAAACTCAACTGATTTGAAAAGCATTCTCTTCTGAATAGCCAAAGCACTTTTAAGGTTATTGTTTCCAGTATCAGAAAGATGTAAAAACTAATTTTTGAGTATCTTAGAAGACTTGGAATAATTTCACTATCCCAATATTCTCATTCTCATTCCCTCCCTCCCTCCCTCCCCCTTTTTTTTGGTTTTTTTTTTTTACAAATTTGTATTCCAGGCTAACCTCCTAAATAATTACAGATTTCCTTTTATGAAAAAGGACTAAGATGTAAGCAAGGGAGATATCATACCAATCTCATGCACTAAACTGCTTAAATAAAAAATGTTATGTTTGCCCAGAACAGGAAATAAGCTAATATGCATCTCTCAGAACAGATTTTCTAAAGGTGGATTCATTGAATTTGACAGGGTTGAATTCTAAATCAGATTATTGAGAATATATTTCATGCTACAAAATTTAATCAGACTATGAAATGAAGGGCTAATTATTATCCTTCCCCATTATGTAGTAGTTGCTATATTCATCTCTTCCTGCACGATCCTCAAAATCCTAGGTCTATTGAACATATTCACACATATTTACCACTTTTTTGATTATGGAAATTGGACCTCACACCAGGACTGAGTATGTACACAGCTCTCTTATCTTGCCTATCATGGAATACTGCTGATGGTAAACAGTACATGCATGCCCTTATGTTATAATGGATACAGGGTGGCCATGTAATGCATGAACTGGCAAATGTGTCCAAGACATGAATGTAGGTCTGCAGCAAATCCGCAGAAAACAGTGAGAAAACATTTTAGACAACAGTATTCATATATTACAATCAGTAGGAAAATAGGAAGTTTTTTCTTCAACCTGGTTAGAGTCTTTCCGAAACGTAACTTTTAAATTCATATAGCATTTGATTTGCATGATTCCCATTAGCTTCCAACATTTTTGCTTAAGCATGAT